ATGATACCATCATAAGAATGAAAATTACCATTTTTTTTATTGACAATACGTCGTCGATGAAGGATATGGAGATAACGAACAGTATTCAAAATCAAAGTCCATAAAACAATACAAAATAGGAACAGAGCAAACACGAGCCTCCAAAACATCAGAGATGGTATCAGGTGTCATGAAGGTGTGAGTATACCCTGCTGATCGCTCACACCCGCTGTGTGCTCCTTGTCGTGATCGGAAAATAACGGAAAAGCCATCGTCAATTCAGTGTATAAATAATGGACTAACATTAGGTATGAAAATCCTCGGTCAACATTTGACTCAATTAAAAATTGGGATATATCGTATCGACATAGGAATGGAAATTACTTTTGTTAATTGATAATACGTCGTCGATATATCTAAATGTCGAGTTGAAGGTCACGGCAAGTGTTTTCTTCTTTTCACGCATAAGATATTGCATTAATTCTGCTTTAAATGAATGCAAAAAAGGTATATTTCTAAATTTTGAGTTAAAGGTCACAGCAACTATTGTCTTCTTTTCACGTATTAGATTTTGGACAAATTCTGATTCATATCAATACAGAAATAGGTCTTCCAATAATGGGGCGCAATTCGTACCCATGGGAAACCCAATAAATTGTTGGAAGATCTGGTAGATATTATTAATCAGAAACCCAAGCATCTTTTTGTTGTCAACTTCAGAGTACTTGTGTGTACAAACAGAACGTTTTAACAACATATTTTTGCTAATAAACAATAACAAGGTATGTAAATTTATGAGTTTTTATTGAAAAAGCAGTTGTCAAGGAATTAAAAAAGCAAGAACTTGCATCTATCGTGGGGAATGGTTGTGTATAAAGTTGAAATGTAAGTTTTTAATCTGTTGGTTTTGGTAAAATCTTGTGTTCTCAAATTGTCCAAAAGTTCCTTGGAATTTTTAAGTATCCAAATCTGATTTACACCACTTCTTGAATACTCAGTATGTTGTTTCACAGACTTGCTGAAGCAACAAAATGTACCCAATCTCTTATTAGATTGTGGCTGTTAGTTATTTTATCTTATCACAACACCCCCTCACCCTTTTTATGACAGGCAGCAGTTTTGGGCATTTTGTATATATATATTTTTATCTTATAATGTTTATAAGGGTGTCAACTTGAATACATGAATATTTTACCTTGTGAAGGTTTACAGGGTTTGAATTCGTATTCTAATCTGGTTAACCTACCTTTTCCTATGTACATTATGGTACAATGACATTATGGTGCTGAGGTCAGACTGTGCAATAATTTGCCTAAGATGTGGTATACTCTATATTTAAGTCTCCTTTTTCTGACTCCAATATTGTTAACTGTGTTTTATTTCTTTCGTCATTTACTTTAATAAAGACATCTTTTACTTCTACACGATGTAATTTGTTTTTGCCCGATTTAACATAAAAACAAGCAGAGAAGTTTGACAGGAGAACTTATGAACATGAATGCAAGAAGATTGTGAATAAAATATAAGTTGAAAAGGTTATACCTTCAAGAAACTAGCATTACTGAATAGGAAAAGATACAGAAAATTGTTTATTGCATGCTATAATCTATTTATTTTTCCCATGGTAATATATATAAATGTACAAGTATGTTAAATTAGAGCTGTTACCCTAACTCCACCTCACTTTTTTTGTGTTTATCCTCTCTCACCTCTTCCCCCTTTATAGGTCACCTGAGCCAAAGGCTCAAGTGAGCTTTTCTGAGCAAAATGTGTCCGTCGTCTGTCATCGTCATTGGCGTTGTTGGCGTCGTAAACTTTTCACATTTTCATCTTCTTCTCAAGAACCACTGGGCCAATTTCAACCAAACTTACTACAAAGTATTCTTGGTAAAGGGGAATCAAGTTTGTATAAATGAAGGGCCACACCCTCTAACAAAGGGGTATAATTATGAATTAGTGAAAAATTAATTACATTTTTTAAAAAATCTTCTCAAGGACCACTGGGCCAGGAAAGATGAAACTCATGTGGAATCATTCTCAGGTAGTGTAGATTCAAGTTTGTTTAAATCATGACCCCCGGGGGTAGAGTGGGGCGACAATGGCCGATCAAAGTTTTACATAGGAATATATAGGAAAAATCTTTAAAAATCTTCTTCTTAAGAACCATTGGGACAGGAAAGTTGAAACTCATGTGGAATCACCCTCAGGGAGGGTACATTCAAGTTTGTTCAAATCATGACCCCCGGGGTAGGGTGGCTCCACACTGGCCGATCAAAATTTAACATTGAAATATACAGGAAAAATCTTTAAATTTTTCTTCTCAAGATTCATAGGGACAGGAAAGATGAAACTCATGTGGAATCATCCTCAGCTAGTGTACATCCAAGTTTTTTCAAATCATGACCACCGGGGTAGGGTGGGGCCGCAATGGCCGATCAAAGTTTTACATAGGTATAAAGGAACAAGAGGCCCACGGGCCTTATAGGTCACCTGAGTATTGTGTAACAACTTTCAAACAATAAACTTTGGTTCGTGTTTTTAACCAGATGCCATGAAATTTACAATTCACAATTTTGAAAGAGGCACCATTGCTTATCATAATTATAAACTTAGCATGCTTACTCTATTTACTTAATACCCAGAGGTAGATCAGAGTAACGAAGAGAAAATGCACTTCCACTTTATAATCAGTTTTGTACCTCTCCCCAAAGGAACCACTGACCCTGGGGCCACATATTTCCAAATTTTGCAAATTTTATCATGAAATGGTTGATAAATACCAAAAGGCAGATTTCAAAGCATTAATTTATTTTCAGACTATGCACCCCACCCCCCCACCCCCAACCCAAAAGGGCATAAAAATTGACCATTTTGCTACATGCACCTTTCTTTATCATAAATATATATACTTGGATCATTGGCATAAAACCCAGAATCAAAGGAAAGGATTTTCAAAGAACTAATGTAATATCACTATATAATAAATAAAGCCCCGTCCTAACACCAGAGCCCCGACCCTGGGGCCATAAAATTCACAATTTTGGAAGAGGCACTTTTGCTCATCATAACTATATGCTTAGTTAGTTAATTTAATATCCAGAAGCAGAGAAGAAGATTTTCAAAGAATAAATGTATTTTCACTATATAATCAATAGAGCCCCACCCTAAAACCAGAACCCCTGACCCGGGGGTCATAAAATTCATAACACTGGTAGAGGCACTATGTACTTAGTTTATTTTATGCCCATAAGCAGAGAAGAAGATTTTCAAAGAATAAATGCATTTTCACTATATAATCTATGTAGCCCCTCCCTAGCACTAGAATCCCTGGCCATGGGGCCATAAAATTCACAATTTTGGAAGAGGCACTCTTGCTTATCATAGCAATAGGTCACCTAAGTTACTCAGGTGACCTAAATATCTTAAAATATTCTTCTCAAGATTCATAGAGACAGGAAAGATGAAACTCATGTTGAATCAATCTCAGGTAGTTTACATTCAAGTTTGTTCAAATCATGCCCCCGGGGGTAGGGTGGGGCCATAATTGCCGGTCAAAGTTTTACCTAGGGATATATAGGGAAATCTTTAAAACTTTTCTTTTCAGGTACTGCAAAGCCAAGACTAGTGATATTTATTTGGAAGTATCCTCAGATAGTGTAGATTCTAGTTTGTTCAAATCATAACCCCACGGATTCGGTGGGGTCACAATGAGGGAAGTTTTACATTAAAATATATATTTTTTAAAATCTTCTTCTAAAGAATAGCTAAGACATGATTAGTTATATTTATATGGAAGCATCCTCATGTATTGTAGAATTAAAGTTAAAATCATAACCCCTAAGGGTAGGAAAGGGTCTCGATGATGGATCAAAGTTTTACATAGGAAAATAAAGGGGAAAATCCCAATAATAGAAAATCTATGTATAGTCATATTGACATCTAAGCATCCTCATGTATTCAAGTTTTAAATTTGTTTAAATCATGAGTATACTTTTTGGTATCTCTGGATAAAAGTACTATAGCTAAGATATGGGATCAAGTTGACAACGCAGAGATCCTTAAAAATGAAGTGTATTATGAATGTATACCAAATATTCACATGAATGTAATTGGAACAACTTGTAATAATAATAAAAACTAATAAAACACAACTTAACTTTTACACTGGGCAATGCCCCTTTCTAATAAAAATTTATAGAAAATGTATAATATTAGTACGAATTCTTAGAAAGTAGAAATGAAAGTATGCATTGCATATCAATTAATATATTGTACTGTCTGTATATATGAAATCCCTAACAAAATCCATCATCTACGAATTTAAAAATAAAAGACTTGAGCTTTAGCTTAGGTGAGCTTAAAAGATAAAATGTTCTAGGATGATTATACATTTTAATTGCTCAAAATTTTTTCTATCCCATTCATGTTATTTTTTGCGTTTTTTTCCCACTTTCTTTTTAGATATGGTGGTCTATTAAACTTTAAACCCTTCGCATTTGTAATTCTTTCTAAAGGTTTTACCATTCGTTTGTTTTCTGTGTGGGACGGTGGTAAACAATTGACAAAATCACTGTCACATTCTTTTCTGTGTCTTGTTAATGGGAGAATGGTCGCTATATCACAATGGTGAACAAGTGCAGGAAACACAGCGTATACATCATATGAAGCTTTAAAAAGTGCAATATATAGTACTTCATGTTTCAGTTCTACTGTATCACTCTCTTCAATAAAATATTCAGGATACTTTTCCACACAACATTTTATACTATCCTCTGTTAACTCTGCTGAGAGCAATCCGGTCCATGGCATCATGTCTTCGTTTTTGTTGTAAACTCTTACAAACATTATATAAGTAAGAACATAGTAAAGTTCATGATTCACCTCGTGCATTCTTTTAAAATGATTAACTAATGCTGTCACAGATGCTTTGGTGAAATCCTCATTCGAGAAGAAGTCATGATGCTGACAATACATAAACATTAAAAATGGATTACCCACAAGTCCTGGATAGTGCGACAGTTTTGAGAATACAGATAAAAACTCGATGTCTTTAAACCAGCAGCTTGGATCACGAACGCAGTGGCCCTCTTTTTTCAACTCTTTCCAAATCAATAACATTTCAGCTTTATCGAGATGATCAAAATCGATCAAATTTTTGGTGTCCATAATCTGTACCCTACCTAATTTCAAGATTTCGTCGTACACATTTTGATGAATTCCCAATAAAACTTTTAAATGTCCATTGCTTTTTTTCATGTGTTTCTGATTAACACATTAAGACATGGTCGGAAGAAAATGCTTTACAGTTAAATGTCCCAAACAAATTATCACAAAAATTGAAGTTTTTTTGTCATTTTCATATCTAATACGTTCATTTTCAACAATATGTTCATCAAACCAAACCGTCTCCCAACCTTGGTCCTTATATATATCTTGTATATATCTCATAGACGTTGTTTTGCCACATCCAATGGCGCCAATACAAATCACAATGCCAGATGTGTCCAATAGTGCCATGGCTGAATTGATGTTCTTTGTCACAACTATTCCATTTTCAACATTATAGTTCGTCTTCAAACTTACAACTAAAATGAAAAGGAAAATTTATAATTTAATTGACATTGTATCATTTCAATATTAAATTTCCTTTAAATTCTAAAATTGGTAAATAATTTATGTTTTATCTTTATATATTATAAATAAAAACAATATTCCTACTTTGAATTTTCTGTTTCGATGCATTACAATCAGCTTTATTGGAACTAGCTGAATCCCCTTCTTTAGAAAGATCTCCAAATTTATCACTCATTCGTCCATACATTTCCTGAAGATATGGAACATCAACTTGATCCTCGCAATACAGATTCCACAAAATGCGGATCCTCTCTATGTCAGCTCCAACAGAATGATCCTCATCCTTAGGCTTATAGTCCCATCCTGTCCCAGGAGGTTTTATATTGCGACAGAAATTTATCAACAAGGTAAAAAGAATCCCTATGTCTAAATTGTCATAGTCCTTAGTATCCTGTACACTTTCCAGAACCTTTAACAATTTCTCGCCAAAATGCTCATTGATGGATACAGAATAAATTATTATCTTTTCTTTCAAATCCCACACATTAAGCCCAGTTTTCAAATAAAGAGTAAGACAGTGTGCAAGTCCAAGAATTTTTGAAAGAATTCTCATACGTTCTTCATCGTCCATCGTTGAAATCTTTCGCACAGAATCTTCTACAATTATCAAAATTTTGAGCAGGGAGGGATCTTTAAATATCGTGCCACACTTGCTGTGACACGGGGCTTCGGTTTACACGGTCTCATCCGAAGGACCGCCCCATTTAGTCGCATTTTACGACAAGCAAGGGGATACTGAGGACCTATTCTAACCCGGATCCCCACGGGGCTGGATTTATTAGAGGTATAAAAATGAATTTTGAACATGAATGGGTCAAGTTTCCATTCTTCGTTAACGTTAAATGATGGAAACGTTAATGTAAAATCTATTTCATTTGTCAAAAAAAAAAAAATGGAATCTGAACCCGTTCTATATGAAAATCGAAAATTTCTGGAAAAATGTACCCTTCAACAAACCCATTCATTTAAATCACACTGACCGACGTCGATAATGCATATACTTCGTAGCGTAGTGGTTAAAGCGGTCGATCTTTGACCAAACCCTGAGCTATGGAGAGAGAGAGATCGAATCATATGGGAATCTTTACCTTTTTTGTTTTCACATATCTTAAAAACATGAGTGAAAAAATTATTATTAATAAGATATTAAAGCAATGATATATAGAATTAAATGTGTAAAAGATGATACAGCTGTATAAACAATGTAAAAGTGAAAAATATAACTTTTAGAATTGAGAAATGCCTTTTCTCAGAAGGGGGAATTGTACGCCTCCATTCTTTATTCAATGCAATACGATCTGGAATTGAATTTTTACCCATTGTTTAATTTTCTTCTTGCCCGAGATTAGCAAATACCGTTTCATAGTTGAGTTCGACTTTTCCAATTGGAATCAATCTGAACTACTAGTATATACCCCCACTTTCAAAGCGGGAGGGGGGATAATACAGTTTAATGGTCTTACAATTAAAGTCATAAATCAATGGATTGTGGGAAATGTTACAGCTAAAAAGCTAATTTTCTTTAAACAAAATTTTAAAATAAGAATTTATGGAAATTATTGCTTAAATGCAAAAAATAAGCAAATGCTTTAAAAACGAGTTTTAAAGATCTGACAAATGCAATGCCATTCCATAGGTTACATCCATAGAAGAAAAAAGATTAAAAAATATCACAATATCTTAAGTATACAAATGAAATAGAAGTTTTCTTAGCGAAGTCTTCTTTGATCTTTGATCGAGTCCCTCGGGAGTACAAAAAATACGGACAAACTCCTACTGTAATAGCAAAAGACTCTGTCACAGTAGACCGCCGATATGAGATTTTCTATTAGTTGAATGATGATGAGAATACTGTCCGTAACGTACTGATAAATCTTCAGAAGATCGCATGAGGGTGCCAATTGGTTCTTCGACTGTTTATGAAGACTAAAGAATATGTATAATGAAATTCCTAAATTTAAGTCGGACTCATCATCCAACTTCATTTTCATAAATATAAAACGTGACGCTGTTTTAGACACTTTGACGTTGTAATCCGCCGTAAGGTGATACAATACATGGCATAAAATTACATAATTTGTTTATTTATGCATATATTTATCTGAAATTCGCTGTGTATATTACTAATATATGTACTCAATAATAGTGAAAATTTCAGAACGCAGTGATGTTTATTTTTTACACTAGACAACTTGTCCACGATTTTACGGGACAACCCTCGTAGTTCATTCGTATAATATTCAGGAGCAGAGGAGAAATTTTTTTAAAAGAATTTATGCATTTTCATTATATAATAAATAGAACAGCACCTAACAAAAGAACTCTTGACCCTGGGGTCATATAATTCATAATTTTGGAAGAGGCATTCTTATTCAGCATAATTACAGTGTATGTACTTGGTTATTTCTTTAACGCCCAGGTGTAAAGAAGAAAATTTTCAAAAAAAATAAAAATAATGCATTTTCACTATATACTAGCAATGTATGTAGGGCCGCCCTAACACTATAACCCCCTGACCCTGGGGCCATGAAATTCACAGAAAAAGCAGTCTTATTCAATATAACTATGTACTTGGGTAGTTTATTTCATGCCAAGGAGTAGAGAAGAAGATTTTTAAATAAATAATGCATTTTCACTGAATAATCTTTACATACAACCCCGCCCTAGCAGTAGAACCCCTTAACCAGGGGCCATGAATTTCACAATTTTGATAGAGGACTCAGTGTTTATTACAATCAAACAAACAGTTTGACTGCTTGATGTCCAAGAGTAAAGAAGAAGATTTTTAAAGATTACATTAATTTGAGTGGTTTTGGCCCCACCACCCCTCAGGCCCCAGGAGGACAGGGGCCATGAAATTCATAACTTTTGTTCCCTTTTACCCATGGATGTTTATGCCAAATTTCGTTGAAATAGGTTGAGCTGTTGCAGAGAAGCTGAAAATGATCATATGTTAACAAACGACGCACGACGGACGTAAACGGATACCAATAGGTGACCTTAAAATACAACCAGATCATATTTGCAATAACTCTAAATCTTACTGTTTTATTGAGTTCGTTGTGGTTCCTTCTCCTTCGGTTTCAGGCTGGTCAAACTATTTCAATGTAAAACATAATTGTTAACAAGTAACAGCTTTTCAAAAAGCTTGCCTGACTTAATCAATCAATATCTGTAAGAGAAGTGATAAACCTTTTGAGCAATACTTTTTTGTGTTTGAAATATGTCTTTTTATTTGAGAACCTTGTAAAAATATTTAATTACTTAACTTGTAAAAGAACGATGCCTTTGCTGCATTCTGAAGAGTTGTTAACAGAATGGTTAATGTATGTGGGTTTTCTGCCAATCGCAACTTTTCGGTCCCACTCCTCGGGCCTTATCTAGGGAAGGAGACCACAAATGTATTGTTAATTTATACGCCATGAACCCCCCCCCCCTTTTCACAAACTTTGAAATAAAGCATGGATGATGTATATAGACCTATTTTCTGTGGAAAATGGAGTTAACTTTATTCAATGTAATGATATTATCTAAAATATACTATAGAAGGGACTTCTAACTCCGTTTTTACTATAAACAGGGAATGTATAAATTTTTAACATCCGATGATGTCGATACATTCGAGTTTGTTTTTCAACCTCTGACGAAAAGACCCGAGATGATGCGATTGAAGAGTAGATTGATCTAACCCTGGATCTAAATTTAAAGCTACACCTATTCTGAAATCTGTTGTCAAATCATTCATTGTGAACATTTTAGAGAATGGATATAACTAAATACATATGTTGTAGGAAAGCATTTTCTCCAATGAAGTAAACAGTAGTAGTTTGTGTTCATTGATCTTTTTCTTTCTGAAACGTTGGTACTATAATTTTTTGAGAACGAAATAGGTAAATCCAACATTTAGGCCTTTGTGGAAAAGAAATCCAAGATTTCGCACAGGTAATTTCTTTCGTCAAATCGTCTGGAACATGGTTGAACTGCGTCGATCGTTTGTGGTGATTGGACTAGTCCATTAAAATATGGAATAAACCAACAGAGGGGAAACAAATTAGAGAAATCATTTCTTTTGTTTTGCATGTCCATATTCTGATACATACGATTCATATGTTGTTTTAAGGAATAAGATATAATTTGTAGATAGAATTTCTGAATCATAAGAAGATGGAGGTTACAATAACAAGCTTTATTTAATTCCATGGAAGTTAGCACCCCCATTCATACAATAGAACAATCCAAGAAAAGGTACGAAGATCGCTTACTCGTGACATTTGGCGCGAAAAGAGCGATTCACCCCTTTTGTAGAACATAAATGGACTGATCCAGTAGTATAGAAATGCAGAAAAAAAGATACACGGACACGTTGAAACGGTAAATCACATGGAATAATCTGTTTCATGCCAACAGAGTAAACAAAGTAAATACTGCATTATTTTGCATCAGTAAAATCATTGTTTCCCTGGAAAAAAGGTTCTTTTAAAATGCAGGTAAAAGATTTCCAATGTAAATCAGCTTGCACAAAATCTAGCTCTCTGAGTATGATCTATTAGTTTCGGATCAAGCAATTTTCAATCCTTATACAGCCTGACGCCGTGACGTCAGGCAAAAAGAGTCGCAGGGGTTTAATTGGGACCTTTCGCCCTACTTTCTTTGTAGATTTTTGAAAATGTTTCCTTATATACTAGTATCCCATTTGCAATTTTCAAGAGCACTATTGTATATAATTATGTCCTATCCCCTTCCCTCATTCTTCCACCAAGGGTCATATTACCTGTTTAAAGTTGATTTACACTAAAACATAACTGAATGCATTTGAATATTTTTATCAAGATTATAAAAAATGTATTATGTATTAGAAAACATATTCCTTATTTTAGCAGCACCGTCGCTAGAAAGGTTTAAACCAGAATCCATATTAAATTGCATATATTCTTAAAGGGGTATAGACACATATTTAAAGATATTTTTTGTATACTAGTACTATCACAACTTATCTATTGTAATAGCATTTCACATGAAAATATATCAAAAATCTTATTCCATCTTAAAGTTATTGAAACTTTAAATTTTTGGATTGGTTTGATAGACAAAACCTTGCACTTTCACAAATCTTAATTTTAATACTTAGAAAAAGTGGCAATCTTGTTGTTTATTAGTTAAAACTTTAATCCATAAAATTAATTATATTCAGAGTAGAAATGTTCGAAAGCAAAACTCCTTCACAAGTATCGTCATTTCGCGCTTAGTTTTGTGTACAGAGTTTAACAAATTGAACACAGTCTTGAAAAGTACACAGTTTTTGAAGAAGGATACGAGTTTATTATTGTTAAGGTTTACGATTCACTGAGTGTGTTCAATTGTTAAAGTCTGCTCACCACAACTCCATGGACTGACAATATACTGTGTGTATGTTTTGCTTTCGAATATTTCTACTCTGAATTTTCTGGATTAAAGTTTTAATATTTTTCATTAATACACAACAAGATTCCCATTTTCCTAAGTATTAACAACAAGAAAATAAAATTTGTGAAAAAGTGCAAGGGTGTGTCAATCAAACTCGTCAAAAATTTTAAGTTTCAATTACTTTTAGATG